CTCCTCACGATGAACAAATAATATCACGGCTGACCCAACTTGGTAAAATTATCATGTTTTTTTTTTCACAAAAAGAAAGAAAGAACAAAATTCTGGACGAAACAGAAATGTCTGCTGCTACTTCCGGATAAGGCGATTTTTTCATGACGTAAACAAAAAGAGTGAAGATTTGGATGAAAGGTACATAGGAACGACAGAATCATGTGAGTCTTTCTCTCCATTCTTCCACAGCGCGATTGCGGATGGCGATATGCTTCATGTGACGAGAACCACGGAATATAGCAAAAGACAGAGCGAAGATGGAGTCAAAAAGGTGTGCGGGCATAATTCATTCATGGTGACAAAGTGCAATATACAGTGCACGGGTACACTGCTCGAGGGAATCTGTGAGAAAAATCTTGAACGTTGAGAGTTGAGTCTTCAATACTATCACATACAAATTGACTGCAAAAATCTAAACACGTCTTACCATGGAACTAAACACGACTTTTCAAGAAATGTGAGAGAAAAGTAAAGGGCAATAATATATCTGAATGTCTGTATAAAATACCCTTAGACGAGGTTCGTAATGGATGAGGATCGGGCTAGGCAGGAGCATTAAGGGAGAGGGGGTGGGGGTAGGAGTGTGGGTATCGGGTATTTTAGTCATGATGCTCCTGCATACATAATGTTCCTCTGTGATTAATTATGACGACAAATGTTGTAAGAGTATTTTGGTGCAAAGTTCTATAGTCATAGGATAAAGCGGTATCCATTTATCACTTTAATAATATTATTGTATAAGAAAGTATATTATACTGTGTGTGCTTTTGATGGCAATAGATGGGGGACAGAAAAAACGTGTGCCTCTCTCTCCAGCCAGTGTCGGTGATGATGATGTAGAAAGGGGCGAGTGGGGTGGAGGGTGGGTGGGGCAGACGTCTTAACAAGTCACGGGTACGACGTAGTATTGTTTAATTGAGAGAAAAGCTAATTTGACATTAAACTGGCCTTAGCTGAAAATGTTTATTTCATTTCTCTGAGCTGAAGACTTTCCTGCTTATCTAGGGACACTTGACGATTTCTAAATGAAGGAAAAGACTTTCGTTCCCAGTTTGTTTGTTTGTTTGTTTTTTAAAGAGAAAGATTTAACGTTTCACTGCTGCAGATATATAATATAATAACATAATTTGCTGTTTACAACGAAGTATTGGAGTCATGTTCTTTCATTGTAAGTATGTCCATCCAGCTGAGTACCCTTTGGCGTGTTAAAGCCTTATGTTTATGCTTTTATAACCGGTACTTGGAACTTGATGTTGGTGAATTTTGCTGTGAGATGAGTCTTTTCGTTTTTCTCTAATGTGTGGACAAGGTTTGTAGGAAGTACTAGTACAAAAGATCTAAACAATTATTTATTTGTATCAACAGTTTTCCTATATATAAAGATTCCAAAGAGCTTCTTCGCCAAAGGGTTTTTTTGTATTGTAGTTGTGGGGTGGGGTCTTGGGGGGGGGGGATGCGATGATGGTGCTGTCAAGACGGTCCTGGATTATGTGGGTGGGTGAGAGGGGGGGGGGTGATGCTGTCAACTTCCCTCGGTCCTGGATTAAGATATCATGATATACTTGAGGAGATTACTGAACACTGGAGTAGACGGGCGTTGTAGGAAAGATAGTCTTCCAATTGGGAACCATTAAAGGGTGGGGGGTTTTTTCAGTCTCCCTATGTGGTCACAAAGGTCTGGCCCACACAGTGTCCCTGATCGCACTGTTAGAGAAGTACGTCATGTAGTGTTGTAGCCAGTCAATGTGTCGCTTTCTGAAGCCTCGTCAAACGTTAAAGGAAACTGTGTATGTATGTATGTATACATGCATATAATATAACATACATGTTTCATTCCTTTTTTCCAGATATGCAGTGCTCCGATTTAGATGTTTAAGAGAAATAGAGGATGCCCATTTCGTCGGGGGTGATAGAAATATGATCTTTTTTTCAGAAGTGACCGAAAGTATTTTTTTAAAACCCACTAAAATGAAACCAAACAAACAAGCAGAAATCAAGAAGAGTAAGCCTGTCGGAAGATGTGACCCTGGCTGTGGTCTGTTCAAGGGAAGTAACTGAGGCCTATTAAATGAAGTACTCAGCGACACGGAGGAACAAACAGAGAGATTAGAACAATGTTATCTTCGTGTAGAATTATTATGGACTCGCACGGGAAAGAGAATAAGCCAATAAAAAAATGTAATGACGGAATAGGATATCAAGTGATTGAAAATATTGGGAGAAGAAGTAAAGTGCGGACGGGGTTTTCGGGATTTCCCTTTTTAAAAAAAACCCCAGATAGTAATGGTTACCAGTGATTATTTTTTTGAAAATTATTCTAAAAGTATACGTACTTCTGAAGTGACATTTTGAATGCCTTGTTATCTATTTATTCTTAAGTTAGACTCGAAAATATGAAATGTAAGCTTGGGACTATAAATCCAAAGTACACCCAGACACGCTTTTTCACGTCAATTTGGTGTCTGAAGGAAAAAGTTAGGTAGATCTGTTTACATAATAAAAAATCACCGATTTTCCTTCATAATTTACAAACATCAACTGAGTCAAATTCGCCCGAAAACGAAGGCTTTATAAATGTGAGAAGACCTTTATGAAATCACCAATGAAAGAGGCAAGTGTAAATGTGTACTGAATGGTCCTAATGTTTCCAGACCGAAGGGCTAGAACCCAAATGGCCGCTGGATCGGAAAAGGAAAGTAAAAGAAGTCCTAATGTTTCATTGCCACAAAGATAATCCCCCCCCCCCTCCATCTTAAAACACCCATCTTTAGAGTAATTTGACATCAAATCCAAGTGAAAACCGGAAACTGTCAATGAACTGCCATATTAAATGGACGTCACAATACAATTTTTGACCTGGTCAGATCTCATCGTCTGCTCTTCTCTCACGACACAGAAACATTGCTACAAGAACCTAACGTACTAACATGTTTCTGGTGACATTTGCTCATTTCATAAGCTTCCTCTATGAAAACTGATTTTACTTAGCATCATAGACCACATCGTTATTTGTAGGCCTCTATATAATATCATGCTTTTGACATAATAAGTCGGCCTTTGCGTATACCCTTTCTTCCATGTACATAGAAAATATTGGTAAAAAAAGTGTGAAGACATCATGAAGAGCTCTCATTTCTAAGGGACAAGACCTTCACATTGGACAGTTCATCACAACTTTGCAGAATTGGAATCTGGTCATTAAAAACCCACAATATAAGGGAACAATTTCATCTTGCTTTCACTCAAAAGAAAAAAAACACCACACCTCAAAAATAAAAAACAACCCCATACCCCATGCCTCCATATTCATATTATTGGTTTCATATTCCAACACGCAGAGATAAGGAAATAAATCCTACAGGATTGAGACAATGTAACCAGGCATCACCTGTGCAGAGTATAAGAACATTTTCGTTTGAATAACTTAACACAAACACTACCAGAAAATAAATCACGAGCTTAGTGTTATCTTGCACACACTCCATGCCTCCGTTTTTGACAACACCTTGAAAGCATTAACCTGAGTCGCCAAATCGGTAGATAGCATAAACAGAAAAGAAACATTTTCGAAATACGGGTACTAACCGTAATGATTTTAAAACCAGAGGAGAGATTTTTTTTCTTCTAGAACATGATAGCTTTGACAAAACTCGCCAAGTCGGAAACAGGAGTGGGTACAGGATGGCACTATCTAGTGAATATATAACACAGGTCAATACTTTTTGATGCTGACATTCGTTTTACGGAGAAACAACAGCAGGTGCCATTATTGACAGTCAAAGTTCTTCGTCATGTTCTTTTTCAGTGTGCAAGATTGTTTTCCTTCTAAAATTATTGACAGAGAAAGGGAGTAAAAGAGATAGTTATTACATGTATAGAGAGACTGAGAAATAGAGAGAGAGAGAG